ATTCGTTTAATCCCATACAACGTTGCTTGCCACTCTTTACTCCTGTACAATCGTATAATTAGAACGACAAATGCCAATAGTAGTTCTAGAAGCCAGAGCATTTCCAAACCTTCTAATGACCGTAAGCCTTAGGCTCTCTATGCATGGAATGTACATACCCCTGATCGCGATTGCCTTCGACCGATTCCTAACCTCGACCACCGCAACGCCGAACGCAAGTAAGGTCGATGCGACACTTTGCACAGCGGGAACATGCTCTAAGATCAGTCAGTACTTCGATCGAATGCACAACTTTGTACTGACACAACCCCTGCGTCCGTCGGAAATCGAATCCTACAGCTGAACCTGCTGCTCTCTAACTTATATGCGATTTCCTACTTAATCTTCCCTTCGCTCACGTTATTCTTTATACGATGGTTGATCCAATATATGTGGCTAGCGTTGCAGAAAGAATTTATCCGTTAGTCAGTCGCTCTCCTTGACTGCTTGCCGTTCGCTGCTTCAGTACGCGATGCTGACGTGCCGATTCGCAATCCTCCCTGAACAGTCAACTACGATGGACCTATATGCCTCTGCTATTACTCGTCATATCACTATGGATACACTCTACGACTCAGCCTGGAATGGCTATAATTTTAGATTTCATTGGTAAAGGTAGGTCTGCAACACGACTTGTAGAGGAGACGATGATTTAACATATTTAACAATCAAGCTCCCGTAAACGTAACTGGTGTCATGTTTTTCGACTTTGCGATAGCAACTCTCGAGCTGGTCGGCACCGCAATGTATTACGAGCATGCAATTATTTTCTCCCGATATCATCGTATGTACAGAACCTTTGAAGCCACCATATCGACTATAATTAATCTTGTACAAGATAATAAGCACGCAACCAAGGATAAGACCTCAGTCAGAACACGGAGAAACAATTTCATCCTAGATCTCACTTGGTCCCGGTTTATTGCCCTATTATGGAATCCAAAGGTCCTTTATAAGGACCCAAGAAACATTAGCGGGTCAGTTACGAATGCCACGTCAGGACAAGGAGAGGGAGAAGAAGATACAATGTTAGGACAGAATCCGACAACTGCCATCGCGAGTCGGCTTCCACTTCCGTTTAATCTCGACTTTACTCGTCCAAATCGAACTTCAAGAACGGGTAATGCCGTGCCGGGAGCTTTATTGAGAGACTGGTGATCGCCCCTAGATTATTTTATTCGTCATGACCGTGTATGTTTCATCGACTTTGAGAAGGTACAAGAAAATGAAATCTATAAGATGGGTGAAGGATTAGAGAAACAATGATTTGAACAACACGACTCCCATGATAGAGGAGTCGATGTGTACACTTGTTGCTCAACAAGGTAGGTACACCATTTAACGATGGGTTTTACAGTAACAAAAAGAAAAGAATCGTCCGTACATGTCCGTTATATTGTATCTAGAGCGCATAGCGCGTCTATTTAAATGCCTGTGGGTGGTGGTGGGGGAGGCGAAGACATCATGCTGCTGGTATCGATAGCATTGACCCCAGCTGCAGCCACTGCACTACCAGCCACAAGTCCTGCACCACCCGGTCCACCAGAAGGCGTAGCAAAGGAGTTGCTAGGGCTCTGGTGCATTACATTCGTACCACTGAGAATAGCATTGCTCGTTTCGGAGGACAAGGATCGTACTGGTGCGAGTTTCTCGTTTGGTGAACTCGCCTTATATCCGAAATCCTTTTGAGCCTCTTCGTCATACATGTAGATAGCGTTGCCGTCTCTGTCAAAGACGGCGTCGTTGTCGGGAGCGAATGCCCAATTAACAGGGTCGGGCATCGGGAGCGCTGTGATAGCGTGAAGCTCTCTACGTATAATGTTGTGCGTAAAGTGGTCCAGGTTGAGGTCGTTATAGTCATAGCCGAAGGGATCTTCCAACTCTTCGGCACATTTCATGAGGCCACAATACACGAAGGCAGCCAGTGAAACACCGGGAATTGTGAGCCATCCAAGGGTTTTCAAGACTTGGAAAGGCTATTAAGAATGGTGAGTTTATGGTCCAACAGATGCCAAATCGGTTCAGGACTTACCAAAACAACAAGCCAGACAAGTGTGACTGTCCACAGATGAACAGAGTACTGGAAATGAGGTCAATAAAGGCCCATAAAATCGAGGCTAATGAAAAAACTCACAGCCCAAGGAACAGGGGTTGACAAGATCCTCTCGAGACCGGTCAAAGCATCAACCAGTTGGCTCAAAGCACCCATCATTTGACCACCCGTCAATCCATCCAAACCTCTTTGCTGAAGCGAAGCAATATAACGACTGAGGTAGAGTGTAATCTCCAGTGGAACATTCTCTACTCCATCCTTGGTGTCTTTATCTCTATTCTGGGCACGATCACGCAGTGCCCGTTTTCCTTTGAGCCTGCGTCCACGCTTCTGAATGCTTCTGATGCATAGATAGAAAGGCCAAATGTCAAAAATATGGAACGGCGGCGGGTTTCGGGAGGGAGCAATGTGGATCGTCTGGGCTTCTTCGTCCACAATAGTGGTGCCCTTTCGCATAGGAGTGGAGTGTTTCTCATCTTGCGAAGGTGTGATTTCGATAGAAGGCGTGCGCGCTCTGTTATCCGACGTCGGCACGGTGAGATGCTCCCGCGGTGGTGACATCACACGTGTGCGAGGTTTACCCTTTCTACGCTTGGATGGCCATTCAATTTCTACGTCTACGCGTGGACGATAGGCGGGCAAAAACCTGACAAGAGGGAACAAGTCCTCATAGTGCACACCTTCCTCTCCACGAAGGTAATGTTTCAAGGACACCCTGGAAAGTCTTGTTGAGTACGGGTTGGGCTTGGGTGATACTCCCACTTACGCAAATCCCTCCAAGAGGTTGAGAACAGTTTTCTTCTCGACATGATTGCGGGCCCTGTACTCCTCTTCCGTTCTAGCCGGGTGCAAGGTCTTGCCATCCAATGGCCCATCTATCAAATAATTAGGTTTATACGAATATCAATTTTCATATTTGAACGTACCGGGAACATGGAGCCAAACCGTACGTGCAAACATGCGAACGTTATACACGACCTGACTCCAATACCGCCTCCCCTCGTTATACCGATCAAAACTGGCGCTACTTCTATAAGAAATGACGAAACCGAGCACAGTACCCAGGACGTTCATGAGGGTACTCTCAATCCCGAGCCACTTGTCTCCGTGGTGCATATAGAAGTATGTTATGACGGTGGCCTCCGCGGTGAAAAAGAGGATAAAATGCCAACACCGAAAGACTGCTGTTGCCAGAAGAGCACTTGCAACTCCCCGAAAAAAGCTTTGGGGGCGCGAGAAGAGATTGAGGTCTGGCAGGCCCGCCACCATGGTCGTCGTGGCGTCGACTTCCGTTCGGACCGTAGTCAGCCTTCGAGGAGGCTCTCGGTGGTACTTGTAATTATGTGTGGCCATTTCCAGATATTTTTCTGCTTATCGGAGTAATAAAGAGAAAAGATTCTGGGTTGCAGAGGACACGCAGATGGGTTGGGGTCGAAAAATGGTCGCCAGGGTTCGGGTGGGGTTTTTATAATTAGCGCTTGTTGGCTTGCTGGAGGCAGGTTGCCAGCCTCGTCGCTTTTCCTCGCCTCTCTGTTCGAAAATCAGACAATAATAGAGTTAAAACTTGTCATGTGAGTCAGATGCAATACCGTTCGTGAGCGGATGTAGCTTGTATCCGTGTTCAAGCAGGCTCGGAAAGTTGAATACCCCGATGTCGAGCACAATAAAGATAGTGTCCTGCGTTGACATATACTGCGACCGAGACTCAGGGCCAGGACGATTCGATGCTCAAATTGGATTTTTACAACCTCCCACTTGCTGGGCAGTAAATGGTCCATGGCGTCCTTGCCCAGGGCGGGCGGGCTGACATACTCTCCCAGCGTTCTAGCCAACCCCCATTTCCGGCATCTGCCTCTCTTCATCAGATATCACGATACACCTCCTATTTAGATGCCATTTTCTTAAAGTGCTGACAGGGATGATGCCGTATAGGATAACCAGCTTCGCCGGCCGGCTTCAGGGACATTGCACCAGAATTGCGATTCTGATCAAGCTGGCCAGGAGAACTTCATACTCCATTCCGGAGAATCCTTTTTTGCAATATTTATCATAAGAATGACTCGGACAGGGAGCGAATCGGAGAGTACCCATAGTTCTATTCGGTCCCCAGAAATATGAACAAGCCTGTAAAATACTAAACCACTTCCACAATTCAAATGGCACCTGCAGCTTTGAGTTTCTTCCTCAGTGCACCACTTTCGTGTAGAATAGACATTCGATCGGATCCTCCGATGGACTTTCCTCCTATAACAACATTCGGGAATGTTGCTTGGCCCGTAATTCGTGACAGTAAAGACTTGATCTTAGGTCCGTCGGCTGTATAGTGATAATTAGTGCCAGATTCAGGAACAACGATATGTCCAAAATTGGACGTGGAGGCGTACGCACGTCTCAAGTCGGCCTCAATAAAGACGGGTTGCTTTTTCAAGGGATATTCCGCTATAATGGCTTTGGCTCGCTTCGAGTATCTATCACGGATCTCAGTTTCATGTGACAGCAGAACAAATGTCGCGACACTCACGGGCAGTAGGTCTGTATCATTCATGTCAATATCTTGTGTACCACTAAAGACTGAGGTTTCCTACCTTGCTAAAGATAACCACCGGGTATTGCTTGTACATTTCTGCCAAGCGA